CACCCTAGGGCCAGGAACATATACATTAGATTCACGGGACAGTGTGTCAGAAGATGAGAAATGACCCCCCCTCCTCACAAAGGCTACACCACGGCCAAAAAGCTACTTTCTAGAAGCATTGATTTGGGTCATGTCAGGTTTCCACTAAAAAGAATTCGTGTACATGTGTTGGCATAAATTTTAAAAAAGAGTTTTCTAGTGTTTCGTCTTATGATTTATTTCTATGAACGGGGGCGTGACAACTAAAATGTATGTTATTTTTGAATAATTTGAATTTTTAATAGATGACACGACCCACATGATCTTAGCCCTCTTCGGTATACTAAAAGTCGTGAAGAGAAAGGCTAGATATAGATAAAGATCGTATAACAAAGCGATGTCTTCACCTGTATATACTCTCGCTCTCTCTCATTTTAACATTGCAAATACAACAAAACCCTATCTGTGCAAAAGCTGACAATTAGTTATGTATCTTATCAGTTTACCAGTTGATTACCATCTTTGGTTATTATTAAAACTCACAGATCAGAGTTACATAAGAGTTACAATTATATATAAAACTTTGACATGAATATGTGAGCAGAATATATGACATATATACCAACTGTGTTTAATATTTAATAACTAGTAAATATCCCATATATAGTATAGCTCTTTCATCAACTTCTTTTATCCCGTGGAAGGAAACATGCTTTTTCAAGGGCTAATCAAAGAAATACTTATTTCCGAGGTACAAGGGGATTAAGGCGCCTTTGTACATGTATGGTAGTCACTAATCCACCTTTGTGGCTTCAATAAGGCGGAAACAAAAAGTCATTTGACAAAGCGTACGTGGTACTTTAAAGCAAGGGTGGCTGTTCACGTTTGTAATATGGTAAATACATTAAGTCAGTAGTATGTATATTCACACCTACATGTACATATGTAACTATGTTGTGTTATACACTGGGATATTCAATTATTCATATCACAACTTTCTTTGATACGTCTAGATAATGAACACCTCTTAAAGATGAAGCTAAAAAGAAAAGACAAATGTAGTCAACATTGCAACAAATTGTTTATTATGGAAAGTCATAGGGGACCCCCAAGTCTTGTTCTATATATGAAATATATAGAACATGACTACCCCCTGGCTTTCCATAGCTTACTTCATAACGTGGTGATAAATATTATTCAATACACAGGTACTTGCGGACAGGACCCCCCCCCCCCCCGATATTCAACCCAGGGGCTTTTTTATAATGTATAGTGGGGTATTTTTGTGTGAAACGATTATTTTGGGGTTTTCACGATTTTTTCCTATGGTACACATGATGAATAAGTGTAATAAATATAATATATGAAAAAATGTCCAAGCCTAGGGGTGGAATATTGGGGAGGGAGTCCTGTCCACAAATACCTGTGATTCAATATTATACTTTCATGTAAATTAGTTGAATCCGATTCGTCGAGAAACATTTGTTAAAAAACACTATTACCCGCTGAATAATAAAGCCACGCCCTCTTGCGTAGCAACAGTCAACATTGCTTGGCGACGAGTGATATTCCAGAAAATAGTGACTGCGCAGAATTTATGCGCGAAAGGTTCACAATTGTTAACAATTGTTTTCTTGGGGTGAAAATTTTCAATGTTACACTCAACTACCTGCAATATTTATATAATAGTGATAATATTATGATATGATCAATAAACAGATACAGGACAAGCTTCTGCTTAGTGATTTTGTTTAAAAAATAAAACACACACACAACTGAACAAATGTCTGTTGTTTTTTTTTTAAATACAAATCTAGAACTTTAAACTTTAAAAAATAAGGAGGAAGATAAAGTGACCTTTTTTATTAAAAATAGTCAGGATTAATACATAACAAACAATTACAAGTGTTCAATAATTTGTTAGTTTTTTATTCACAGTGACAAACAAAAAAAAAAAAGAAAAAGAAAAAGAATTAAAATTTAAATAACATGTCATACACTGATGATTAAATTTTAGCCGTATCTGTATACATTTCTGTGTTAAAGGTGGCAGTTAGAAAGTCAGTGTGGTTAATTTACGTTTTTGTTAAAGTCAAAGAATTCTTTTTACTAGCAATATAAAGTGGGAATTAACAAATAATGTTTTGGGGTTAACAGGAAGACCATGCACTGGAACCTAAGTGAGTATTGTGGCCCATCGGCCTCTTGTTTTGTTATGGTAAAACGAGAAAGTTACTCCGAGTCGATTCAACTTAGTGAATTTAACTCTAAATGCTATCCCATACCCAATTTCGTATACTAAACAATTTATATGCACAGTACTGCCGTGGGATGTGTGTTTGTTTCTCTCAAAATTTGCATATCTATAATGATAAATATATTTTTTTGCAAATAGACTCTGAAGCCCTGCACCAAAGTTCATTCTTAGCTTTCATATTACACTAGGTATATGGCAATGTCTGTAAATTAAATTTTAAGTTAACTAGCACAATAATAATCGTAAATGTAAATAAAGTAGCTACTTTCGTTTTCGACAAGGACTGTGTGGTGAAACGGTTTGGCGGACCTAATTTACTGACAATTTTTAAATGAAACTGATCGATGACTTGCAGTGGTTTAATATTTGTTAAATCGTCAGTAGTGAATATTTTAATCAAAACTTGAATAAACTGGTTAATAAGCAAATTAAAATGAGCACATTCTCGCATATTCAGCCCCCAATCTATATTAAATTATCGGACCATGTATTTTGATGATTTAAAAAAAGTGTGACGGTACATATGTCGTTTTGTACATACGATTGTCATTCAGTAAGTAATACAATATACATTTTATCATAATAAATGTAGAAGTATGTAATATAACAGATGAAAAGTTCTATTGAAAGAACTAGTATTCACAGAAAACACAATGCATTTTCCTAACATAATGTTCTCGAAAAGGAATTCACTTTTAAAGTAAGCATGGTTTGTTTGTTTGTTTGCATATTGTTTAACGTCCCTCTCGAGAATTTTTCACTCATATGGAGACGCCACCACTTGCCGGTGGAGAGCTGCAAATTTTGTCCTATACTCGGCACTCAGGGACATTGAGCAGTGAGGGATCTTTTTCGTGCCAGCACCTACTGCGACACGGGACCTCGGTTTATTCGGTCTCATCCGAAGGACCGGTCTCCACGTCCCACAGTGGGATTCAAACCCGCGAGGTAAGGGTCAACTCCTTACTTCGCGACTCTAGAGCAGACGCTCTAACCACTGCGCCACGCGGACGACAAGTAAGCATCTCTGCATGCCAAGAAGATAAAAATGAGGGCGTATGTGAAAACTGTGCTTCATTACATAAATAGCTAAAGAACCAATATTAAAGATATGATTATTATATGTAGAAGGACTATATATATATAGTCTTTCATGCGGTATAGTTTTCAGATGTATTCGGAAATTCAAAAGTAAAAAGTACAAGTAAAAGGTACAAGTAAAAGATCGCAGTTAAACTGGTCAATCGAAATCTGTAGGGGCACCAAAAATATCAATGCTGTTAGCAACATGATATCTGAAAATGCCAGATTTACGTTGATAGATATTGCTAATACGCCAAACATTTCATTGTCACAACAATTTACAAAGTTCTGACTGATGAAATAAATCTAACAATAATTCTATTAGATGGGTGCCTTATTTCCTGACAAACATTTAAGAGAAAACACACGTTAAATGCGCAATAGTCTATTTAAAAATGAACATTTTTACAAAAAAGATTTGATAAACTTGAGTGATAGATGTCGTAACATGGGTGAAGGTTTTTTTACAGCCGAAAAGGAAGATCAAGCATAAAATGTGGAATCAAAGAGAAGGCTGTCGTCCTACTATTGCAAAGAGAAGCAAGGGCTCCGAATATGTTTTATAAATTTTCTTTAATTCATATGGTTCAGTAAAACGTACAATCATACAGCCAAAAAAGAACTATCAATGGTAACTTTTATGTTAAAGATTCACTCAGGAAATGTGAGCAGATTTCCTGCAAAGCAAGTCCAAAAACCGGTTACTAGAGTATTTTTTCTGTGCCTGACAACGCTGCTGTAAATAAACATACATATAGAGAAATAAATAAAATTTTGAAGAAAAGTAAGTTTAAAAAGCTTAGCCACCCCCTTTCTTTGCCAGATCTAAGCAAATTTGAGATCTTTTTTTCCCAAAACATATGAAAACAATCAATGGAAGACTTTACAATTTCGAATATATCATAGAAAATGCTATTTATCAGTGTCTTTGGGGCGTCCCTAAGATGAGTATGCTGAAGTTCTCTGGCCATGGGTACAAAGACTTTAAAAGACTTTTTTTAGGGGGGAGGTCACCTCACCTATCCTCTTCGTGCCCGCTGGCACATAAGGCCCCGATACACTTCTTCCACCTGTCTCTGTCTTTGGCTGTTGCCCTCGCTGACGCCCAACTTTTCCATCCCAGCTGTAATCTTTCTTCCGTGGTTCTTCTCCAGGTTGTTTTCGGCCGGCCTACTTTCCTTTTTCCTTCTTCATGCCATGTCAGTGCGGTGGTGCAAATCCTGTTATTCTTCATCCTCAGTACATGGCCAATCCACTTCCACTTCCTGAGAATTATTATCTCACTCGCTCTAGTTGTCTTCGTTTTATGATGGAGTTCTTCATTTGACATTTTTTCGGGCCATCTTACTCTCAGGATTTTTCTCAGACATCTATTCTGGAAGGTGTCAATCTTCTTTTTGTCTCTCTCCGTTATTTTCCATGTCTCACTTCCATACATTAGAACTGACAGGACCAAGCTGTTGAATAACGTTACTTTTGTTTGGATGGAAAATTTTGATGAGCTCCAGATTTTTTTTTAGCCTTCCAAATTGAGACTTAGCTTTTCCCAGTCTGTTGGTAATGTCCTCATCAGATCCTCCCTTTGATGTTATCACACCTCCAAGATAAGTAAATGTTTCTACATCCTCCAGGTCTTGTCCATCAATCTTGACTGGCTCTATTATGTCAGAGTTGAGTCTCATCACTTTGGTTTCTCAATGTTTATTCTGAGTCCAGCTTGACTACCAGTTTCGTTGAGTTTTTGTGTCTTTTGTTGGATGTCCCGAAATTTTGAGGATAGTAGAGCAAGATCATCTGCGAAGTCTAGATCTTCAAGTTTTGTTGTGAAATCCCACCTTATTCCTGTTGGTTCCGTTTCTGTAGTTCTTCTCATTACAAAATCTATAACCAACAAAAACAGGAATCCAGACATTGTGCAACCCTGCTTCACTCCTGTTGTTACCCGGAACCAGTCAGATTCTTCTCCATCTTCTAGGACTGCACATTGGAATGAATCGTATAGGAGTTTCACCATTCTGACTAGTTTGTCTGGGATGCCATAAAACTTCATGATAGACCAAAGGCTCTCTCTATGAATGGAATCAAATGCCTTTTCAAAATCAACGTAGTTTACAAACAATGTTGAAATCCATTCGGTACATTGTTCTATGATGTTACGGAGTGTAAATAGTTGTTCTGTTGTACTCCTTCCTCTTCTAAAGCCAGCTTGTTCCTCACGCAGCTGCTTTTCCACTCCATCTTGGATTCTTTGTATCACTATTCTGGAGAATACTTTGCTTGGCACAGATAAAAGTGTTATACCTCTATAATTATCACATATTGATCTATCATCTTTCTTTGGAATCTTCACTATCAGGCCTTTATTCCAAACCGATGGTATGGTTTCTTGTTTCCAAATTGTTGTGAAGAGTTTTTTCCAAATATCTTGCTGTTGTCTTTGTGTCTGCTTTTAACATCTCAGCTGTTATTCCATCTACTCCTCCAGCTTTTCCATTTTTTAGTTTCTTTATAGCCTTGATGATTTCCTCTTTCCGAATGGGGCTTGTATCCATCTCATCTACTACTTGTCCTTCACTTTCAACTTCTAATGGGTGTTCTGGTTGTGGGCGGTTTAATATTTCTTGAAAGTGCTCCTTCCACCTTTCCTTTCTTTCATCTTGGCTGCTCAGGGTCTTGCCCTCTTTGTCCTTTATTGCTGTTGTTGTGCTTTTCTTCTCATTACTTATTACTCTAGTTATCTCATACACTGTTTTCATGTGCCCATTGCTTGCTGCTCTTTCTGCTTCCGTAATCAAATCTTCTGTCCACTTTCTCCTGTAATTCCTCATGCTGCGTTTTACCTCTCTGTCTTTAACTGAATATTTGTTTCTTAAGTTTCTTTTTAACCTTTCTGATCTGCTGTTAACAAGTTGGAGTTTTAGCTGCTTCCTTTCTTCTACTACCTTCCAAGAGTCTCTGCTTATCCAAGGTTTTTGTCCCTTTTCTTTTACTCCAAGTATGCTGTCTGCTGTCTCATTGTAACCCTTTATCATATTTTCCCAGATGTCTTCAACACTTTCCAATTCTTCTAGCACTTGGAATCTATTTTTTAGCTCCAAAGTGAATGCTCTCCTTTTCTCTAGCTGTTGTAGTTTTGTGACACCATACTTCTTTCTACATGTATCTGAATTTTGCTTTTGTTTCTTCAGTTTTATTCTGATCTTACTCCTTATCAGTTCATGATCACTGCTTGCATCAGCTCCTCTCATCGCCCTTGTATCTGAGACGGATGCTCTGTGTTGTTTTGATATAAGCACATGATCAATTTGGTTTTCGGTCTTTCCATCAGGTGATATCCAGGAGATCTTGTGTCTTGGTTTATGAGGAAATATTGTTCCTGTAACTAACTCTAACTCCTCTAACTGTGACTAAGTTGTTGAGCTCGCATATATCTAATAGTCGTTCTCCATTTTCATTTCGCTCTCCTATTCCATGCTTCCCCATAGCACTTTCATGGCCTTTGTTGTTGCTGCCAACCTTTGCATTGAAATCTCCAATAATGAGCAGTATGTCATGTTTTGGAGTGTTATAAATAACTTCCTGCAGTTCTTCCGTGAATGTTTCCTTTGTCTCTTCAGGGCTTTCATTTGTTGGTGAATACATTACAATCAGGCTTATCTTTAGAGTTGATGTATAGAATCTTGCATACATCAATCTCTCATTTATGGGTTTCCATTCCATCAATGACTTCTTAGCTTTCTTTGTCAGCATTATTCCTACTCCTTCTTGATGTAATCCATCCTCTCGTCCTGAGTAAAGCACTAGTTTCCCACTTTGCAATGTAGTTTTTCCATTCATAGGCCATCTGACTTCGCTTAGCCCTATTATATCCAGTCGGTATCTATCCATCTCCTGTTCTATCTGGGCTGTTTTCCCTGTAACATACATAGATCTCACATTCCAGCTCCCTATGTATATGTTGTCTTTAGGTGTGCATAGGGACTTCGGCTTGTGGACTTCCAACTGGCTTTCATCCACCAGCGTCATGTTGTCCTCTGCATTAATATTTGTCACAGTTAGAGGGCTAACCTCCCGCTGTGTGCTCAGTGTATTTGGAAGTTTCTGTAATCATGAGGTTTTTACTCTGCCTGGTGATTAGCCATGCAGAAACCCCCTGGACTCGGAGGACCAGTGGTTTTCTGTTGGGGTTTTCCTTCCCTTAGCCTCATGTTCCAGTTATTTAAAGGCGCCGGAGACTCGCCTTTCACCACTGTCACTCAGCTACCAAGGTATTACCAGGGTCACCAAACGTGGAGGTGTGACATTCGCTGGCAGAACCTGTTTGAGACGGTTGGCATTACTCAAGGTTTTGTAAGGTGAGACCTAGTGGCATTGGTAACACCCTTCGAGACCGAACCAGCATTTGACCCCCCATTTGGGGGGAGGTGGGGAGGATAAAAAACTTAAGAATAAATAAATCAAGAAGCCCGTGGCTCAAAAAAATCACATGAGGTAAATTGATGATATATCGATGACCTGTTTTTCTCGATAAGTCTTTTAAATGTCTTTTATGAATTGACACTTTTTAATTAATCGATTAATTGTACACTATGTAGAAATGCTTTCATCCTGATTTGACTTATGTATCATTGTGTTAAAAAAATCTTTTTATTTTCGCTTATACTATCCAGAGAGAGAGAGAGAGAGAATTGTTTACAATGTCTAATCTACCGATTAATTCAGTTTCCTCCGCATGCCTTTTTAAGCCAGTGATTTAAACAGTGTACATATGTAAGTCATGAAATTTTCGGACATATAAGTGCCTGACAATTTAAATAAGAATTACTTGATGTTTTAGAGACTTCTGAAGTCATCCCGTTTGTTATTTGAGCACCAACGTCTATAATCGGAAAGATATCGAAATATGAAACATATGATAAAAAGGACCAAGACTAGAATGTATGCTATTGCAAGCAGTAGTAGGAGGGGTCGTTTTGGTATTTATCATCATTAAGGTTTATCACCTATTCAAATAGGAAATATCACTATTCAGTTGGTAATATCACATATTCGTATTCGTGATATATCACTTATTCAGCTTTTGAATAGGTGATACCCCCTATTTGAATAGGTGATAACACATATTCAAATTAAGTATGAAATAACAACTGCTCCCAAGACTATAGTACATACATTTACTCTATACAGGAAGTAAAAAGTTCAGTCTCATTTCACATACATAATTATTACAGAGAATATCAGTAAATATGACAAAAATGACTGCGAGTGAAATTTATATAACTTCGCAGGGATTGAAAACAAATGGTGTTTTAAATGTCTTGGATTATAAAACAGGGGGAAAAGGCAGCCCGAATTCGCTTAGGGTCTGTAGAAGTCTAGTTTTTCATATGCAAACCAGGTTGTTGTATGGTCTTTTTGTGCATATATACATTTTAACTTAAAACAGTGCCCCTCCTCTCTATGTATCAAAATAATATCTTACAGCGAAACTACAGTTTATTTCATCAATGCAATGCCAAAATAGTAGAGATTATGGCTCAAATTAAGTACAAAAAGTCCATAGACCCTTTTTTTATCGTTTTTTAAAGGTTTGTGCAAGAGAAATGAAATCAATTTCATCAATTTGAATCACTGCTAAAGAAATAAAATTGCTCTTTAAAAGTCTTTTGAAATGTCATCCTTTACTTTGCATTGAAGCTAGAGTGTCTTGAGGAAGGGGACATATTTTATTTAATAACTTTCATATAAATTAGTTGAATCTGATTCGTCGAGAAACATTTTGTTAAAAAACACTACTACCCGCCGAATAATGAAGCCACGCCCTCAAGCGTAGCAACAGTCACACACAAATTTATTGCTTAATTTTTTTTCATTATTTCTTTTATCCGATAAACAGTCCTAAAAACATTTCCAAAATGTATAATACTTCCAAATTCATATTATAAAAATTCCTGTCCATATTATCTTTCTTTGGTTTCTTTTTATCATGTATAGTTATGCTATTTTAAGAGAATAAGACAGTGTACGATTTACGACTTGGTCGTAATTAATTAGCGATAATTAATTCGTTCAATTATGTAAATCGCAATTCACCAGAGTACACCCGAGAGACCGGACGTATTTCATAGCGGTCCGGATTTTTAGGTCACCTGAGTCAATCAGGTGACATATTGCTATCTGTTTTCGTCCGTCGTCCTGCGTTGTGCGTTGTGCGATGTGCGTCGTCCGTTAACATTAGAACATTTTCAGCTTCTTCTCTGAAACTCATGGCCCCAGGGTCAGGGGTTCTGGTGCTAGGGTGGGGATATATGAATCATATAGTGAAAGAGCATTATTTCTTTGAAAATCTTTTTCTCTGCTCCTGGGTAGTAAACAAACTAACTTAGTACATCGTTATGATGAGAATGGGTGCTTCTTTGAGAATTGTGAATTTCATGGCCCCTAGGTCAGGGGTTCTGGTGTTAGGGCGGGCCTCTTTTGATTATATGTACAATGTATATGATAGATAAATAAAAATGAGACAAAAATAACTTATATTATAAATTGTTCTTCGAAGACTAAGAGAGGCCAGTGTGAGAGCTTCTGATATGGGGTTAAAAATAGTACAGAAGCACTAATAGTTTGTTAATAGTCTGCATAGTGATAGTGATAAATGGAGGACAGATTAGAACATAATTTACGAGTTGTTACTGAATACTAGACTAATTATTTTGTTGAACTTGGTCATCCTATTTCTTATGCTTTTGGGCAATAAAGCTTCATCTTTCAGTTTATCTTATACTCTATGGATCCTCTAAATTGTTGTATTATACTCAGGTTACCGTTAAGGCCCTTGGGCCTCTTGTTTTCTTTATAACTGGTTAGAAACTTCAAATTAAACACGTAACATCGTAAATACATAGTGTTTTGTAGTTTAGTAGTAGTGCTAGTTGTTTTTGTTTTTGGTTTGTTTTTTTTTTTTTTTGGTTTTGTTTTTGTCTTTGTTTTCTTTTTTTTCTGTTTCCTTTGTTTTTATGACTTTTTTTTTGTTTTGTCCTGAGGAAGGGACAGGGCGTCCCGAAAATTGTTCGTGTCGTTGGTCATTCTTAGTGCTTTAAATATATATATATATATATATATATATATATATATATATATATATATATATATATATATATATATATATATATATATATATATATATATATATATATATATATATATATATATTAGGGATGGCAATTTCTAACCGGTTAACCGATTACTCGGTCGGAACGATGGCAATCGGTTAGAAAAACTGTAATCGGTTAGTCGAAAAAAAATTTACTATATGTAAAAAATAAAGGCAATCTTAAAATTCATTTTTAAAAAAGAAATTAGAAATTCCTTCTTAAACGTTGATAATTTTGCGTTTTCATATATTTATTTAGGCTGATTGGGAGGTAATTATGGCTCTCCAGATTAAAATTATGGGGTAATTGGTCACCCGAGATGTGTTAATTACTGTTAAAACATCATGTCGTTACCCTGACTGTCCTCTAATTCTTTATTGATACTAATCGCCGTTGAGCCCGTGAATTGGTGTGTGTATCTTTTGCAGTTATCTATCAAATTAAATTATTAAACAAATATTGCAAATTAAGTGTTACAGTTTAATCTTTGTTTTGATTATGGTGACAATGAAGAATGAACTTGTGTGACATCTGCTCTGGAAAAATATCCACGAAATCTCAGGCATGTTTCATAGTTTTCTGATTTTTTCTTGTCTATTGAAATAAAAAAATATATGCATGTACATGTAGTTTTCTGATCAAGAATGTGTTTGACCTCTAACATCTTTTTTTTAAATACTTCTTGTGCATGGGAATAGAACTTCCTGAAAAAAGTCAAGAAAATGTGTAGTTTGATACGATTAACCGGTTAATCGGTCGGGACGTTTTGCGGTTAACCGATTAGGAATTCTGTATTCGATTGCCATCCCTAATATATATATATATATAACCCAATTAATATTGTAACTGTTCTTGCTGAATTTTATGCACTTCAATGTTTTTTTTTTTTTTTATTTCTAAAGCATAGCCTTATAGTCTTATTACTTTACATGCAGGTAAACACTGAGAGATCTGGTGTAATTTGTATGAAAAAAATCATAACAGGCACTTTATTTATTACATGTTGATTGGAACTAGTCAATTCTCCAGCCAGCGAATGTTGATCGTGCCTCGTATGAGCTTTCTAATGCCCCTTTACCATCCTTTCTTTCATGTGTCTAAAGAAACACCACATCACCTGCATTCAGTTGTGCAACCACGAAGCCTGTGGCGGTATGGCGATAATCATTTCTTCAGAGTTAGCAAAGGCGCTGTTCCAGGTATCCGAGTTGACAATGAGATTTGAAAAACATAGCTGTAAGAATTTGAGTAGATAGTCCATGTTATGGCATAAAGTCCATTCTAAGGAACCGTGAATACACCAGTGTATCTATTGTATGCATTTGCAATGTTTGTCATCACCATGTCAAAGACGAGGGTATGCTGAGGTGATAAGGTACATGTAAGCTTAGAATGCACATTGGTTAGACAGCTGTATCCTAGATTTCTTGTTGACAATTCTTGTTGATACATATCTACAAATAAATCACGATGACAATAGAATGCTGCTCTTATAATGGAAAAAGCGTTAGTGAGTGCAATGCCCTATTTTCTTAATTTGGTTTTATCGGTTTTATAATGCTTTGGTATTAGCAATCATAACTACGGAATGCGAGAATATCGATGCCTTTGCATCATTATATACCCTATTAATCCACATATGATTTGAAACCCATTGTATTTTTATTTTAGACATGTATTTCTTCGCATCTGTTTTATTGTGCTAGTTATGGATCCTTTAAATTTCCAAAATAAACTTACCAAGAGATCTTTGCGTCACGTTGTTTTGATAGTCTTGTCTATGCCCTGGCTCTGTGTTTTCATCATTTCTCCAGACGTAGGAATCAAAATGCTCATCTTCAAATTTTCTGGTAGAACCGTATTTGGAGGTTGCAT